AGAACACGGCCACACAGCCCGGAAGACCCACACCAGCCATCGTATTCTGGCCGTGAAAGCCAATACACAAAATGCCAGATATTGTTTTTTGGCTTTCTAAAACCTAACATCCTCTAAGTTGACCTAGGCTACTGGGGACAGCAATAGCTACATGTCAATACAACTGAAAGACAACAGGATGCAGAAGATGTAGAGTATCAGGGATAGGACCTTGACTGCAATAGGCAAGAACAAGAGAAGAGGTAAAGCACATTGAGGCTTGCAAGATTTATGTCAATCCTTTGAGGTAGACCAGATCAAGAAACAGACTCCACAGGAAAACTAGAGCTATATTTTATTGAGACAGGCTATAACAACAGAACCTTGCAAGCTTGATTGTGCTTTACCTCTCCTTTCTCATACATCCCAGGGAATCAAGGAAGAGCCTGCCTGAGACTCTTCCGAATACTATCTTGTTTCCCAAGACTTAAGGAATGTTTCAGTCCCCTTTGCTTATGTACAGGTTCTTGCTTATTTCCCTCAAGATAATTTCCCTGATTTTCTACGGGTTTACATAAGACTAAATATTCCAATCCACATAGAGAGAATTTTTTTTAAAAATCTGGGAAAAAGCCAGAGCTTCTTATTTGTTTAGAAAGGATCTCTATCCTCCCTGTTCACTTCAAAAATCAAGAAGTATGGGAGCAGCAGAAGGTACAGAGGTGAGTCACATCAGTAATACTGAACCAACACCGGATTTGGGTGCCTGCAAAGAAAGTCTTGCAGAGTTTTGTGGCTGTCGTGGGAGAGACTGCAGTTACAGCCTTGCAGCTGCAAGATCAGATAGCCTTACTTGGGAGAAAAATGTAAAAGCAGCTGAGGCAATCTATTCAAAAGGGAGAACTCAGTAACTGGAATGGAGAAGAGGGGAGGGGCGGGGAGACAGAAGACATTCGAAGTGGAGACTACTGTGACTTTATACAATGCCATACTTTAAAACACCCACTCAGCCCCCACGCTTTTAACGCACTTGACTTGAGCTCTGGCAACAGGTAAAGGCAGCTACGGTCTCAGGAGTCCGTTCTGAAGCAACCGCTGGCATCGCGGGAACTGGGACGAATCGTAACGTAGGAGGGATAGCTGGGGGAACCCACACCCAGGCTAAGGTTTGAAGGGGATCATTCATTTATTTCAGCCTCTCCTTTAACACAGCCTGTCATACCCTAACTTTCAAAGCTTGACCAGATTAAGAGAACTAAGGGGGCACATGAGATAACTAGGCAGCAAAAGAAGACGGTATCAAGAGAGAATGTAGGGACACACATAGAAAAGACACACCCCCTTTCCCCCATTCTAATATATAGTATCTCGCTATTTCCTCTATCATTTCCACTTTCTTGTCTTCTAGCCCTAATTCGCCTCGACTTGTGAGACCTCCCTACTTTCTCCAAAACAACCCAAGAAATTACAGCCTAACATCATAGAATATGTAACTGGCAGCGGCTGTTCCTCCCCTTCCAACCCTTTCTCAACTCCCCCTTGTGCAAACTCACATCTAGGGTCTCTATTTCCACATCTGGATGAAGGCTTGTCTGCTGTGGCAGAGATGATGCGCTGTTTGATTGCTCCGGCAGGAAGGAAGTGCTACAGCCACCAGCAGGAAGTCAAAGGGCAGATGCACTAAAGCATGACATGCGGGGAAGAGGAATCAGAAATAATACCATATTCAGATGTTTTAGGAATATACATAGTCGTAAAGGGGTGATTTCAAGATATATCATCCCAGTCAGCAGTTTCTAGGGACTCCTGAATCTTTCATCTGAGTATAATTCAGATGGGCAGATACTTATCGGGGATGGGGAGGCATTACTGAATTTTCCAAAACCTCTCACTTGTAAACTTAGAGTAACAATTTATATGTGGTAGTTTTGAAATGCATCCTCCTACTCTTCTTTCGGGAGCTTTTTTTGGCAATTTCAGATATAAAGATACTTCTATAGAAGTAAATCTCTACCCAAAACCTCTGCGCAATATAAAACTCATTTAAAAGTCATGAGCCAATTTAAAGAAAAGATTTTTAAAAAGGGTACTCATTTTGTGAATTAGCGACTTTTGTGGACTTGCAATTTCAAAACATGATAAATCTTGCATCTTCAAAAAGTGGTAAAAATGAGGGAAGTTTTTCAACAGGCAACTCAAATGCATATGTTGAGCTCTTGCTCTGATCCCTGCTAGTCTGCGTCAGTCAGATTTTGTACTGGATGGACAAAAAGAGCAGGTTTTCAAGCAAGATTCTAGACCTCCCTGTATAGGATAGCTATGATAAAAGAAGTGGTAGACACAATAAAGAGAGGTTAGTTGAGAAATATTCGGGGGGAAGCTGTCCCATGCAGAATACAGATGCAAAATATTTCAGAGGCAGATTATACCTGAACACAAGAACTGCCCTATCAAGGCATGGTTGTAAGAACAAAAGCCAGTTTATATGATCAGTAGAATCAAGTCCTAAGCAGGTTTCCTGGACTGTACCATTTTGGGCTGCCGAAGAGAAAAAACGATTACAGATTTCAGAAAAGCAAGTCTTCTGATACATAGTAAAATCAAAATACCAGAGTCAAAGTAGTTGTGATACAGCAGCTTCATGTGTTTTATCTACACATTTATCCTACTTATGTATATAAAGTGTTCATAGTGGGAACTATGTCTGTTCTTTGCATTAAAAAAAAAAAAGGATGAGGAAGAAAATTGCATCCTCTCCTATCAGTGATTTTTTAAGTGTAAAAGGCATTCTCCGCACTATCAGTTTTTTTTTTTTTGACAGAGCTTCATTCATTTCATATGAAGATGGGATAGACACAAAAGTTGCCCGCCACATTTTTTAACATTCTTAGAAGGGTTGCCTTTGTCTTCTTTTAACTTGGCATTATGCTAAGTGCATAGTGACTTTACAGTATGCACCTCCCCCACAAATATCCAAAAATGGTTCAGTCCAGGAAAAGTGCTTAGCATTTCTGATTATATAAAATCTGCAAACAGGATTTTCACAAGCCTTTTTTATACATTAATGGGCTGAGTAAAGAAGTTGTACTTGCCGGGAGTGAAACATTCCACTTCTTCTTACTTGCCCTTTCACCAAGAGGCACCACACCAAACTGCAAATCCAGAAAGATTTTTACTAATCATATCCTCTTATTTCTGCACTGATCCTGTGGGAGTTCTATACACCTCCCCTTCTGTGCATTTATCTTCTCCCCCACCCCACCTGAAATTCAAAAGAGCAAGTCCCAATGATCATGGTTCACTTATGATTCAACAAGCATCTACATCTTCCTAGCTGTTAAACCAACACTGAGTTTCAAGCTCAAGAAGACATCAATGGAGGGTCAAGACATCATCCAAACTGAAAAAAGTTCGAATGTGGCAAATAAGTATTAGCAAGCCAAACATTATACCAAAATCTGCATTAAGGAAAATATGATTTTGGACCTGAATGCTTAAATGATGTTGCTAATTTGGTTTCCCATTTTGGCTGCCCAAGGGAGGGACAACATTCTGCTGTGATTTCAGTAGATATTGCTTGCACAAAAGTCACGCTTTTGCTATTCCAAAGGTTTGCTTTACAAACAAAACCAGTGAAAGCATATATCCATAGGAAGAAGCTGCTTTACAACTGCTATCAGATACTGAAATTCCGTATGGTTTTGCCTTGAAGAATTTGCAAATCCCATGTTGTTAAAAAAAATAAATAATGAAAAGTCACCTCATCTAATCTGATAACAAGATATCCCCACCTCTAATATCTGAGAGGAAGAAACTACTAATCTAAATTAATGAAGGCTCCTCAAAAGATTTCAAAAATGAATCAGTTTATTGTGGCACAAGCCAAAGCCCACTTTTTCAGATGAACGAAGAAGTAATTTGCATTTATCACAGGCAAGAGAACAAAAAAGGAATGAAATCTGTGGGCTGAAATACACAAGATGCAGACTGCAACATTTCCTATCAGCTTAAGGAGACTTGGCACACTAGTGGTCTTAAGATTATTGCTCTACCATAATAACCAATTATGGCTGGGAGTCGAGCTTAATTCAAAATATTTGTAGGATATCAGGCTAGGAGAAACTAGTTTCAAATACAGCTCATTTTTCTTCTATACTTGTTTAGGAACATTTGATTTTACATTGAAACATACTGAAATGAATCCATAATTGACTGCAACTAGTTCTGTTTACATTGCAAATTAACACAAGCCATTTATGTTAAGGTACAACTACTAGCTGTCTTTCACAGATGTCTCTGCAGAAGCCTGTTAATTTAAGCTTCTTCTCCCCACGGTAAAGGCAAAATACAACTACCAATGACATTATAGGCAATTCAACTGACAAATGAAACAAATGATAATGCCAGGGATAGAAGCCAGATGCCTGCAGGTTCATTGAAACTAATTATCACAGGTAGTTCCTCTGTGGATCACAACATAAAGCAAAGACTTGGTTGTACAAAACAAGACATCATTCATCTAAACTTTGTCCATCATCATTCCAATGTTCAATAGCAGCAATATGTTAGGAACAAAAATATTAAATAGGAGCCTGAAGCTACAACCATACATGCAACATTTTTTCATGCAAGTTTTCATACTTCAGAAGCCGACAATGACATCTTAACAGAGATGCAAATCCTTTTAGCTCCTAAAGTGAAGTATAACTGACACATTAGGATATGATTTTTTTTTAGTGTCATTCCTAACACTGACTCTGTCCTGAATACTGGCTTTGTCCTGAAAAAAAAGCAAGGGGCTCCTAGATGGTCAACTATTTTGGAGTAATATAAAAATGGAAGACATCGTCCAGACATTCTGCAGAACTCTGTGAAGGCAGTGTGCCTGCAAACAAAAGCCTTTGTATGAAAGCATAGATGTGGTCTGTAAGATTCAGTTTTTCTTAAAAGCCAAGGCTCTGAAATTATTGAAGGCTGATTTTTTTTTCAGCCATTTCTTTGTATATAAGGGAGACTGCCTGGAAACCTCTTACATGTTGCTTTGAATTTCACAACATAGAAAAAGTAAATGAAATAAAAATAAAACAATCCAAGTAAGGAGAAGGGAGGAAATGGGTTTTCGCTATTTCATCCTCATTCATCTGAGAAATGCCACACGACTCTAGATAGTGCTTGGGATTTATAAAAAAAATCCTATATACATAGCAAAAAATTGTGATTTCATTTCCTGTTGTCCATAATCTCGCCTTGGTGCCTTTAGAGAGTTTCTCTCTCCTCAACTGCTGAGTGCAAATCTGTTCATGTTTCCAAAACTGAAGCAAGATGAAGTAGAGGTTTCAGATAAGGACACTGGAGACAGGAACTTTTGTTGATCGCCCATGCTGAGGAACAACAATGCGATCTTCCCGTTCCAAAGATTCGTGCAGCTGTCCTAGAGGGAGGAAAGAAGCATGTTAAGGACAAGATTTTAAAAAGAGAGTGTCAGATGTCATAGCTCCCTTTCCTATTCCCCAGCTGCTCACTGTTGTCTATTACTCCTTAGCTGTACTTCCCTTATTTCATCCACAGCTATATATGTTGCTGTGAATATGAATTCTGGATACTGGCATCACTCTTGTTCTGGAGCTACTGCTGCAAGGGTTGCAAATAGAAGCATTTGAGATGAGTTTCTTTCTCTCCCTCTCTCTTTCTTTCAGCATTTTATAAGAAAAAGAAAAAGGAAATGAAAGGAAATGAAGAAACACAAAAAAGAAAACGAAGCAAAAAGGGAAAAGAAAAGGACAAAGTGGATAAAACAGGGAAGCGAGCTTCAAGTCAGTGCTGAAAAAGAGAAAGAGAACTTATTCATGTAATTCAGTGCTTAAAAGATTTTGAGGAAAATTTGGTCAGCAGCATATGTCAAACATTTGAGGTTAAGAAGATGCTTCCAAGGCATAATGTTCAATGCCAGTGACTATCTCCTGAGGAAACTGCATTGAAAATGTTCTCAAACACTCTCAACATCTCAGGGAAGTTCATCTACCTTCCTCATCTATAATATACAATAAAACCAAAGTGTGTACCTCTGTTTTACTAGCAGCATGTGCTTTTGTGACAAAGCTCTGAGCCTGAATTCTTGGGGCATTCATTCCAACTCTGTATAGCTGGTAAAGGAAAGAAGTTTTACCTTGTGCATACAGCTCTGTACGTTTACGATCTGCCTGGATGAAACAAGCTGTAGCTAGGAAGAAACCACCACCAATAACACCCACAAAGGCGCAGATCATAAGTGCGTATTCCAGGCTTCGGAACCGTGACAGCAGTGAAGAGGGGCGACCGCGCTGGATTCTATCACTAATCTATGAAAAGAATTAAATAAAAAGCATGCAATCTATTAGGTAATGTCCCACAGGAAAGCCTTCAGAACTGGAGATGAATATTGTTATTTATTGCTTCTCTTACTATTTGGGATGAAAAGCAATTTATCCCAGTTGAAATAAATAGCAAGACAGACCCACACCATGGATTATTTTTTTCCCCTTGCACTGGAAAATGTCATTGGATTTAAACTATTTCATATCTGAGACCTTGAACAATAACAGCCCACTGCAGACAGAACAGAAAAACATGAATTTGGAGCATGGTTCCAACGGTTACTAGTGATGCAGTTGCAAACAAACTTTCAATTAACTCTCACGCCTTGAGGGAGAGAAACATCGTTACATATCTCTAAACAGAAATGGGTATGGAATCTACATTGTCTTTCTCAAGGACAAATATTCCATAGTTTTGTAACCAAATATGAAAGTGCCCTGCTTTAATCTTATCTGTTAAGTTACACTCCCAAAGCACAGCATCTGCAGTGATCTTAAAGTCCTGGGGAGGTTACACTGCATAAGGCTGTACTGGAACTTTTCCTTTTAGTCTGGGCAGGAATTACAAGGAGAACCTGGAATCCAGGCAGCTCTAAGAGGTCAGGATGCAAAACTGCTTTGATCTGGTCAGGTCTGTTCTAACTGTGAGGAAGAACAGGCAAAAAGAGAAGCTGTTCAGGAGGTGGGACAGATCAGCTCTACAGCCCTAGAAAATGACAGCCTAAGTCTTATACCCCAATGCTTACCAAACCAATAAGATAAGGGCTCCCAGCATCACCCAGGAGATGGGACAGCAGAATCTGAAAAGCTTCAGCTGTGGATCGGCGAGTGGGGATGACAACATACTGCAAAGAGAAAAAGGTAGATTTCCTTTGGTACCCTCTATCAAGAAACTTCATCCGATTTCAGGATAAGGCTAGAACGGAGGAGGCAGAGAGCTCAATTCTATGGGGCTCAGAGCCACTAGCCCCTCCACTTCCTATTCACTCAGGCACTGAGTCAGAAGGGGGAAAAGCCAATCAGGGTGGATAGATGGGATTGGTGCTGCCATTAAGGTATGAGGCAATCGGTTAAACAAACAGAGGGACGGCGATGAAGCTATCTAGAACACTATCTGGCAAGACTGGAACAAAATAGCAGAAGAGATTGGTCACATGGGCTATCAGAGGTGGTGTAGGGAAAACCGGCTACCAGTGACGCAGCTCTCCTACTGATTGCTTCCCTATTCCTACTCAAAGGGCCTGAACTCATGCCATTAATTTCCAAGCCACATACCCTGTTTGTTGAGCAAATGTAAGCGTCTTCCCTTCCCCATGTTCTTACCAGAAGGATGTCTGCCACTATAGCCCAGTTGAGGGAAAGGAGGATCTCACCAATAAAAATAAATACCTACAAGGAGGAATGAAGAAGAGGAATCATTTTATTCCATCGTAAAAAGATATACCATTTTTCATTAAGCACCATACACATTTAAAACACAGAAGTGCCCTTTCCCATGCCCCCAAGGACTGTACTAAAATCACAGGAGAAACTTGAGGAGAAACTCACGTAAGTAGCAATGATGCTGTGCTGAGCAAAGACGACAGCCAGGAACAGGAAGGGGGCAGAGCCAAGCAATCCAATGGCACACACCAAGGGGTCAGAACGGGGGTTGATGCGATGCCAGCGTCTTGAGATCTCCACCCCAGCACTGACGCCCAGGACACCAGTCACGCACGTGATTACACCAAAGATGAGGCTGCAGAGATAGTTACACGCGGCTTGATGAGGGTCTTCAGAAATGGTTCAAAATGTTTAAATGATCAGCATATTGGAATCTTTACAAATACCATGCAAAGTATTCACAAGAACTCAGAAATGAGTTGTCAAGATGCTCTTCAAAAGAGACCCAAGACCTAAGCTAGAAATCATGACGCAAGCCACTCCCCCTTGCTAATTCACCTGTCATAGTCTCCATGGCAAACATCACCTCTAGGGCAAGGCGGGAGGCTTCCGGTGGCCAGCCGTGAGCGGTACAGGAATGCAGGTGCCCACAATGCTAGGGAGCCTGTTACAAACGCCACAGCTGTGAATCCTAGTGATGACAGCACAAAGCTACGGCTGCCAGTCAGGGGGACAGAGAGAAAGAACGAATTAATGTCAGCATGCATTATAGCCTTTTGGATTCCCAGAACCAAGTGATAACATAGATCTGAGCCATCAGAGATCCATCGCCTCAACAGAACACCTCTACCTGCTCACAAGAAATGCTTTACAATTGATTCACTGTATCCGGCAAGTTGTCCAATAAATGACACAGAGGACATGAGCTGCGTACATATTAAGTGTCATCTAGAGTCCTGGCACTTTTCTGATAGCAGATAACTTAGGCCATGGGTTATCAGCTTGCTACAATGGCAGCACAAGGCTGAGAACCATTATCTGCCTGCAAAGGACTTGTGAGCTAACAGATCTGACTCTGGAATCCCTGTCTGTCTCTCCTGACTGCAGTGCTACCTATACTACATTTCATTAGGTTGGGGGGAAAAAAAGCACTGCATGGGGCTATTTAAAAGAACACAATGAACCCAGGTAGTGCTTCCTGCTATGCCACGGTTTTTCAATCATAGTTTATTGAATAAGTCCACAACTCGTTGGATTCAAATAATTACTAAGCAGTCTTACACTATGGCTTAGTACAATGCACAAACTCAAGTGAATGGTCAGGTTTATACAACAGGCTAAGCCAAAATACGGCTTGTTTTAGGAACCAGCCAATTGTGGTTTATTCACATATCATGGTAAACAACAGCAGCTTAGCAGCAGTATTAACACAGCTCATTTCTTAGAAAACCACACTGCTGATGGCCCAAGGATTTTTAACTATAAATCAAGGGCTAAAGCAAGAACTTCTTGAAGATTCTTCTTTTGAAAGAACAATTTCTACATTGACTTGCCGTCCCAGTTTCATTGCAGAGAATTTGGAGGTTCACTTCCTGGCTCACACAGACTACTGACTAGGCCTGTTAGAATGCAAGTGATCAGAATGCATGTCCTACAACACACTCAACATCTCTTGCAACGTCTTTGCCGATTATGTCTGTGAAGATTCTCTTGAACAAAATGACAAGCCTGCTATAAAGCTCCCTACCTCCCTGATAAATAAAATACTATCCTGCAAAAGTAACCACAGAAGTTACTAGCCTCTTATAGTAGTCAGCACTTCCCTGGTATTATTATTATGCCCCACCTTTTTTTATGTATAATTCAAGGCAGCGAACATACCTAATACTCTTGCCTCCTATTTTGACCACAACAAGAACCCCATGAGGTGGGTTGGGCTGAGAGAGAGTGACCAGCCCAAAGTCACCCAGCTGAGTTTTATGCCTAAGGGAGGCCTAGAACTAACAGTCTCCTGGTTTCTAGGCCAACACCTTAACCAAAGTAGTCAGTGCTTCCCTGGTAGCTCCAGAAAGAAGCCTGATTCTCTACACCCACACCTTGGCAGATTTTTTTGTAGATGTCTCCTACCGAGACTACTAGTGGAGCACAGCAATCTGCTGTTCTCTGTCAATCTTGTGCATTTCATGCTGAGTAAGGAGAAGGGAGCTCCTTTTCTTCAGAAGCATACAAACCAAGTGGTTTCCCAGAGGAGTGACAGTGATCCAGCCCTCTCCACTAGCCCTTTTACTTGCCTGGACAAAATTTCATGTCACCTATGGCTACTATCCAAGTTATGAAATAAAAGCTGTTTTTAACTGTCATTAACTGTGAGTATTGGCATTGAACTGGAACTATTAAAATGAGGGCTAGAAGATAATTCAGTAAAAAAATTGAAAAGCAAGATCTCTCCCAAATGACTCACTTGTGGCTCAAGGCCCACACATCAGCTGCCCATGAAGTGTATTGAAGTGGGGCATCGGTATGGGTCTCCACAGCTCCTCGAGGTGGCTCACGCACCACTGTTATCAATAATAGCAAAGCTATTGCCCCCAAACCTGGAGTCACCTGTGGGGATATAATAAAAAAAAAAAAAATCCAATGTGAAGCATTCTGAATAGAGAAAAACATATGTGAATGACTGGAAGACAGGCTGCTTCCTAATTTTTGCTAAAAAGAAGTTTCAGAATTAAATTTAAAAGGAGTTTTACAGCAATAAACATTGACTAGAGCTATAACTCTACTTACCCGCAAGGCCCAGTGCCAATCATCAGCCACATCTTTCACCTTTGATCCCACAATATAGCCCAGTCCACTGTAGAGGAAGATCAGGAAAGCAGTCAAATCTTCACTCAGGCAGGCTCTCCAACTTCTACCAGAGCTAATTAATACTTTATCAACTTCAGTCATTGACACAATTAGTCTTTTAGGATATGGATATGCAAGCTGTATAATGTTGCTTGCATATCCATATCCTAAATGATTTTCACCAAAGATCTCTAGTTAAAAACCCATCTCTTCACCCTCCCTCCAAATACAGAGCACAGAATGTTCCCACCTGCCTACAGGTATAGCAAAGTAGAAGATGCTAAGCATGCGGGATCTCCGGTCACCCAAGTACAGATCAGCAATAATGGTGGGGGCAATAGTTGAATAGCTAGCCTCTCCCACACCCACTAGGCCTCGTGTAAGTAGCAACATCCAGAAGAACTGAAGAGGAGAAAAAAAAAACAATGCACGAACAATAGAGAAGCAGATATAAGCTTTAAGTCTGGAATACCCTCATCAGGAACCTTGAAACTGTTGGTTGTGAGTTATGAGTTAAACATTTTAACTCTGTTCAGATGCTATTTATTTATTGCTTATTTAAAACAAAAAAACTCCTTCAGGTAATAAAATAGGACATCTTAGAAAGGTTTCTTACTAACTTTGAGGAGCTAACTTCTTGCTTATTTGAGGTCTGATTAAAAGAGAACAAGAAGTGCAGCTACATGAAAACAGCGACAGCGAGAGGGTTGATTAATTCTCCCCTCATCACCTACTATGAAACTTCATGCATTTGCCTGTATGGAATTCCTCATCACTAAGGCTATCAGGAAGGTTTCATAGCTTGAAAGTGCAGAATTTCCAGAAGAATTTCTGGAGAAATGAAAGAAATATATATTTAATATCTCATCCCCATAATGTTAATTTCCCAGAAGTCCCCTCCTCCACACCAAATAAATACCTGCTTGGGGGTGTAGCTGCTCCCTAGAGTCACAAGAGACCAGAAGAAGATTCCTATACACATCAGGTATTTGCGATTCCAACGATCACCCAGGTAACCAAAAATTGGTGCCAATATCATGTAGCTGATAATAAAAACTGTCAGGAAAGGGAAAAGAATTTTATGCTCCACTCTGTTCTATATGTACTAACTGTGTAAATGGTTGCAGAGGGGATAGAAAAGACAATCAAGGCCTGTTGTTCCACTCCTCACCTGTCTGTAGCAGACCTGATTTGCTATCATCAATCTCAAAAAACTTCTCAATGTCAGGAAGAACACCTAACACAAGGCAAGAGAAATGCAGAGCTTCAATTGAGACAAATATAGTACTTTCATCAGTTACATCCATAATCATCTAACCAAAGCCAGGAACAAATGGGGAGAATCTATTTACCCTTGCTTTAAAAGTTACACACCTTCACCCATCTCATCAGTTCAAAAAGAAACTGAAGGAATTTCAGCTACCATTCCATTGTGCTTACCAGCCACAGTAAAGCGATCCATGTAGTTCAGTAGATTAATAAAAAAGAGTACACCCACAATAAGGCGTGCGTGTTGAGGGGATATCCCTGTCAGGGTCTGTACATCTTCTTCCTTTATATGCCCTGGCTGAAGACCATCTTTTTCTTCACCTTCAGTATCATCCGCCTGAGTCAAAATCGGAGCTGTATCAGCATAAGGTTGCTGCTGGGATCCCATGGCTGGGAATAAGAAGGGTCTACTGTAAGGAAAAAGATGTGTCACTGCAGGGGAGGCAGACTTTAGTAGATTTGCAGGATCTACTAAATAAAAAATTTAAAAAATAGTACCACAAGCGGGGGAGAAACGCGCTTAACGAGAACGCCTGCTCCAAAGGGTTGCTGTCAGAGATGACCCACAGAATTACATCCACTCCTCAAAAACAGACCCTCGGGCCTCTTCCGAAAGTAAAGACAGAGGCAAACATGGGTGGAAAAAGGAAGAGGAGGGCAGGCTGACTCAAATGATACAAGCTATCCTATCATGGTTTGTGGGGACTGACTCACTGCCTAAACAACAAATCCTGAATGCCGGCCTCATCCTGCATAGACTGGACGCCGGAGGAACTCCTAACCAGCTCGTGCTAAGTTCCCCTTCCCTTCCAAATTCTCTTTAATACTCCACTTCCCCAAACTTACCCGGTCTCTCTTCCCTCTGTAGAACAGCCTGATCAGGTCACGTGAGCGTTTTTTAAAAAAAAGATGTTATTTAAAATTTAAAAAAAGAGACCACCTTCCTTATCATATGACTTCTTTTTCCCCGCCTTTTCCGCCACCGCCCTGCGCGCGGCAACTCGGAGCGCTGAGGGAGGCGGGCCTGACCCACCACGGCTGGGGAGATGGGGGGGTTCGGCTCCACGATAGCCAATAGAACGGGCTCTTTCATCGGCGGCTGCAAAGACAGGCCTGCCTCGGTCGCCCGCGTTACCAGCTCAGGCGTAGGTTCCTCCCACTTCTCCTCCCCTCCCGCAATGGGTCTCCTGTCTTTGTTCGTTGTTATGGTTACAGGGTACTGCTTTTGCCCAGCCCGATTTCGCTACGTTGTACTGTCTCCATGACACCCAGTGTGCCCTAAGTTACATCTCAAAAGATCACATTTGATCTTTTAACTACCGGTTTTGCCCTGGCTCTCTCAAGTTACAAAGGCTTCTCAGTCATCTTACATGCCTTGGTTTGGCAAGCCACAGTTTAAAAAAAAGCCACGATGGGGGGAAGACTAATATTTTTATTATAACAACTGGAGGTTTACAATTTGCAATTATTTGTAAACCTTCTGTTGGACCAAGAGATACAGTCTCAGTGCACCAAAGTTAACCATTTGTAGCTGTTGGCTACATAAAACTAAACAACTGTGGTACCAGTAATCTTAGTTCATACAAAAATCTGTTCATGGAAGGTTATGTCACATAAGTGAATAGCCCTATACAGATTTACCCAACTCTTGAGCACAGAGACAGGCTTGCTTTTATAGATAAGTGTTAATAAGATTTTTCATAATTATTTTTAATTTGTGAATTAAAAACCACGTTTTCCTTATTTCAGGATTGCAGCCTAAGATTATATGGACACATCATGCTAAATTGTACATTTTGGTTTACAAACCACAGTTGCCGGATAACATAGTAATCCCAAACAAATTACATTGTGGTTTAACATTACTGTGTTATATGATGCTATTATGAGAGATGGATAAAATATGTTATTATTGACAAATAGTAGCTTGAGCATGTTAAGAGTGCAGCTGTGAGAGAGATAAGGAAGTAGTG